ACATCCGTGCCATGACTGGCACTGCCTATCACCACCTCCGCAACATTGCCAGACTCTGCCACTGCCTCACCCCTCAGGCCCCCAAACCCTCACCCATGCATTCGTCACCTCAAGGCTCGATTATGGGAACTCCCTCCTCATCGGCCTTCCCAACTCCTCCCTTCACAAACTACAGATCATCCAAAACTCTCCTACCTCTCTGACCTGCTGACTCCCTACCAACCTGCCCGCTCCCTCCGTTCATCGGGCTCCGGGTCTGCTCTATGTCTCCCGCCCAACCCGCCCTACCATCGGTGGCCGAGTTTTCATCCTCTCTGCCCCCACACTCTGGAACTCCATCCCACGGTCCCTTCCCCTCGCTTCCTCCCTCGCCTCCTTCAAGGCCGGTCTCAAGACCGTTCTCTTTGACTGTGCCTTTGGTCGCCCTCCCACCTCTCTGCCTTCCCTCACCCCTACACCCCCCCTCCCCCATGCTCGGGCCCCGACACCTGACTGTTCAGAGCTTTGGGACGTCCTCCCGACGTGAAAGGCGCTCTATAATTGTCATTTTGTTGTTGGTATATAGTCTGATATTAATAGTGACACCTCTCTTTAGCCTGATATTAACAGGGAGAACCTCCATATAACCTGATATAGCCTCAGTAAGAATTACTTGCAGTTTCAGAAAATTCTGCCTGTAGGAACCTAAATACATAATAATGCTTGCATTTGATACAGCGTCTTATCACATCTCTGAGATGTCTCAAAGCGCTTCACAGAATATACTATAAAGTGTAGTGACTGTGTATTTTGTGGCCAATACAGTCTGGGGATTGGGGAAGGTTTCTGTGGGAGGACACAAGAGAGGTTTGGTCTATTTGATCTCATGTTTCCAGAACCCTGACTCACATGACCTCCCATCGCAGGCTGCAGAATGGACAGTTTACAGAGGCTGTGTTACATGTGTTTGGGTGACTCACAGAAATGAAGATACATCTGTTCTCTGAGCCCTGGATTGTGAATACCAACACAGCAATATTTAGTCAATCCACTTTACAGTGTATTTTGTGAAGCAGTTTGAGACTTCTCAAAGAAATGATAAGGCGCTATATCAAATACAAGGATTAATATATTATTAGTAGTACTATTATTAACTACACTTGACAACAATTCCCTCTGAAGGGTTTTGTCAAGGCGTATTAATAGTGTCAGCACTGTATCAAACGTAAGGATTATTGTACACTTTGGTCCTGGAAGTTTAAGTACAGAGTAATCAGCACTCAGTATAGCAGAGTTGCTGCACAGGCAGCGAGCGGGGTATAGGATAGCTGTGAGCTGTCTGCTGACACCTGGTTTGTGTGGTGAATCTTGACTAGCTGCTGGGGGTGTGAGGAAGATGTGATACTTTCAGCCATGACATTTCTCGTAATTGTCTATAATTATAAAGCGGCGACAGTGACAATACCTTCATCAGTAAACAGTTACTGGGTTCAAAAGGCCTTAAAAATATTTTTTAATTTTCACAGAATTAACTTGAACCCAAAGCTTCCCAATGTCAGCGAAGAAACAGAATGCCACTGCCAAACAGCCCAAGGCCCAGCCGAGGACGTCTGTGCCCAAATCCGTAGCACCTCAACCAAGGACATCAGCATCCACAAGCCTGGAGGTTGGGAGAAAAGCTGAGTCCACCAGATGTGGGCACACTGCAGCGTCAAGCAGAGGAAAAGCTCAACTCATCATTGCCAACCCCAGACCAGACACACAGCAAACCACCATCACCAATGCCAAGGGATCAGCAAGGGCAGGCAACAGAGTCACCAAATCCAGCACAAGTACCGCCAATGCCAACTCCATGCCCAAAGCACAGCAGAAGCCAACCAGCCCGAGAACCGGAACCAAACCAAAACATGAGGTCCCCAAGCAACCAGGTCACCCCAGTCTCCCACTCAAGGCAAACATCAGCAAGCAGGAGGCAGCGCAGGTGGAGAAGGACACACGTGGCCAAAGGCAGAACCCGGCCTGGTTTGAGTGGCGCGCTAACCGGATCACGGCCTCCATTGCTCACAAGGTTTCTCACTGTAACTTTGTGAACGGGAAAAGCGACGAGGTCCCACAATCCTACCTGAAGAGTATCGTGGGCTCTGGCTCATGTCTGCGCACGGCTGCCATGAAATGGGGGATTGAGAACGAGACGGTGGCCATCAACAAGTACAAGGAGATCAAGTCGAAGGAAATGAAACAGCAAATCCAGGTGAAAGATTGTGGGCTGTTTATAGACCCTCAGAGAAGTTGGTTGGGAGCCAGTCCTGACGGGGTGGTGATCGATCCTAAAACAGGAGAAGACTTGGCTTTATTGGAGGTAAAATGTCCGTATAAGCACCGCAAGCACACCATTGATAAGGCATGTGCTCACAGACACACACAAACACATACACACTCACATAGACACACAAACACATACACACATAGACACACACAAACACATACACACTCACATGGACACATAAACACATACATACTCACATAGACACACACAAACACATACACACTCACATAGACACACACAAACACACACACTCACAGACACACACAAACACATACACACTCACATAGACACACACAATAACACTCACATAGACACACAAACACATACGCACTCACACAGACACACACAAACACATACACACTCACAGAGACAAACACATACACACTCACATAGACACACAAACATACACACTCACATAGACACACAGAATAACACTCACATAGACACACAAACACATACGCACTCACACAGACACACACAAACACATACACACTCACATAGACACACAAACACATACACACTCACATAGACACACAAACACATACACACTCACATGGACACACAAACACATACATACTCATATAGACACACAAACACATACACACTCACATAGACACACACAAACACATACACACTCACATAGACACACACAAACACACACAAACACATACACACTCACATAGACACACACAATAACACTCACATAGACACACAAACACATACGCACTCACACAGACACACACAAACACATACACACTCACATAGACACACAAACACATACACACTCACATAGACACACACAAACACATACACACTCACATAGACACACACAACACACACACTCACATAGACACACACAAACACATACACACTCACAGACACACACAAACACATACACACTCACATAGACACACAAACACATACACACTCACATAGACACACACAAACACAAACACACTCACATAGACACACACAAACACATACTCACATAGACACACACAAACACATACACACTCACATAGACACACAAACACATACACACTCACAAAGACACACACAAACACATACACACTCACATAGACACACACAAACACACACACTCACATAGACACACACAAACACATACACACTCACAGACACACACAAACACATACACACTCACATAGACACACAAACACATACACACTCACATAGACACACACAAACACATACTCACATAGACACACACAAACACATACACACTCACATAGACACACAAACACATACACACTCACATAGACACACACAAACACATACACACTCACAGAGACAAACACATACACACTCACATAGACACACACAATAACACTCACATAGACACACAAACACATACGCACTCACACAGACACACACAAACACATACACACTCACAGAGACAAACACATACACACTCACATAGACACACAAACACATACACACTCACATAGACACACAAACACATACACACTCACATGGACACACAAACGCATACACACTCACATAGACACACAAACACATACACACTCACATAGACACACACAAACACATACACACTCACATAGACAAACACAAACACACACACTCACATAGACACACACAAACACATACACACTCACAGACACACACAAACACATACACACTCACATAGACACACAAACACATACACACTCACATAGACACACACAAACACAAACACACTCACATAGACACACACAAACACATACTCACATAGACACACACAAACACATACACACTCACATAGACACACAAACACATACATACTCACATAGACACACACAAACACATACACACTCACAGAGACAAACACATACACACTCACATAGACACACACTATAACACTCACATAGACACACAAACACATACGCACTCACACAGACACACACAAACACATACACACTCACAGAGACAAACACATACACACTCACAGAGACACACACAAACACATACACACTCACAGAGACTCACACAAACACATACACACTCACAGACACACAAACACATACACACTCACATAGACACACAAACACATACACACTCACACAGACACACACAAACACATACACACTCACATAGACACACAAACACATACACACTCACATAGACAAACACACTCACAGAGACAAACACATACACACTCACATAGACACACACAATAACACTCACATAGACACACAAACACATACACACTCACACAGACACACACAAACACATACACACTCACATAGACAAACACATACACACTCACAGAGACAAACACATACACACTCACATAGACACACAAACACATACACACTCACATAGACACACACAAACACATACACACTCACATAGACACACACAAACATACACACTCACATAGACACACAAACACATACTCACATAGACACACAAACACATACACACATAGACACACACAAACATACACACTCACATAGACACAAAAACATACATACTCACATAGACACATACACACATACACACTCACAGAGACACACACAAACATACACACTCACAAAGACACACACAAACACATACACACTCACATAGACACACACTCACATAGACACACACAAACACATACACACTCACATAGACACACACAAACACACATACACACTCACATAGACACACACAAACACATACACACTCACAGAGACAAACACATACACACTCACATAGACACACACAATAACACTCACATAGACACACAAACACATACGCACTCACACAGACACACACAAACACATACACACTCACAGAGACAAACACATACACACTCACATAGACACAAACACATACACACTCACATAGACACACAAACACATACACACTCACATAGACACACAAACACATACACACTCACATAGTCACACACAAACACATACACACTCACATAGACACACACAAACACATACACACTCACATAGACAAACACATACACACTCACAAAGACACACAAACACATACACACTCACATAGACACACAAACACATACACACATAGACACACACAAACATACACACTCACAGAGACACACAAACATACATACTTACAGAGACACACAAACACATACACACTCACATAGACACACAAACACATACACACATAGACACATACACACATACACACTCACAGAGACACACACAAACATACACACTCACAAAGACACACACAAACACATACACACTCACATAGACACACACATACACACTCACATAGACACACAAACACATACACACTCACATAGACACACACAAACACATACACAATCACATAGACACACACAAACACATACACACTCACATAGACACACAGACACATACACACTCACGTAGACACACAAACACATACACACTCACATAGACACACACAAACACATACACACTCACAAAGACACACAAACACATACACACTCACATAGACACACAAACACATACACACTCACATAGACACACAAACACATACACACTCACATAGACACACACAAACACATACACACTCACATAGATACACAAACACATACACACTCACATAGACACACACAAACACATACACACTCACATAGATACACAAACACATACACACTCACATAGACACATACACACATACACACTCACATAGACACACACAAACACATACACACTCACATAGACACACACAAACACATACACACTCACATAGACACACACAAACACATACACACTCACAGAGACAAACACATACACACTCACATAGACACACACAATAACACTCACATAGACACACAAACACATACACACTCACACAGACACACACAAACACATACACACTCACAGAGACAAACAAACACATACACATTCACATAGACACACACAAACACATACACACTCACATAGACACACAAACACATACACATTCACATAGACACACACAAACACATACACACTCACATAGACACAAACATACACACTCACATAGACACACAAACACATACACACATAGACACACACAAATATACACACTCACATAGACACACAAACATACATACTCAAATAGACACATACACACATACACACTCACAGAGACACACACAAACATACACACTCACATAGACACACACAAACACATACACACTCACATAGACACAAACATACACACTCACATAGACACACAAACACATACACACATAGACACACACAAATATACACACTCACATAGACACACAAACATACATACTCACATAGACACATACACACATACACACTCACAGAGACACACACAAACATACACACTCACATAGACACACAAACACATACACACTCACATAGACACACAAACACATACACACTCACATAGTCACACACAAACACATACACACTCACATAGACACACACAAACACAAACACACTCACATAGACACACAAACACATACACACTCACATAGACACACAAACACATACACACATAGACACACACAAACATACACACTCACAGAGACACACAAACATACATACTCACAAAGACACACACAAACACATACACATTAACATAGACACACAAACACATACACACTCACATAGACACACAAACACATACACACTCACATAGACACACACAAACATACACACTCACATAGACACACAAACACATACACACTCACATAGACACACAAACACATACACACTCACATAGACACACAAACACATACACACATAGACACACACAAACATACACACTCACATAGACACACAAACATACATACTCACATAGACACATACACACATACACACTCACAGAGACACACACAAACATACACACTCACAAAGACACACACAAACACATACACACTCACATAGACACACACAAACACATACACACTCACATAGACACACAAACACATACACACTCACACAGACACACACAAGCACATACACACTCACAGAGACAAACAAACACATACACATTCACATAGACACACACAAACACATACACACTCACATAGACACACAAACACA